GCAGCCAACTCCATATCTTTATAATACGCGATATAAAAATCAAATTTTTATAATATTTCGTAATAATTTGACAATTTGTCTCAATTATATCCCTCTTATTATCTCTAAATTTTTTGTTTATATCTCACATATCATATATATATATATATATTATTTGTTCATCAAATTTCTCTTTTTTATTTTATGTCTATAATTTTGAAACTTGAGATTCAGTTCGCGTTTAAATCGACGAATGTATCTTGGTTGAAATGTAGGAAATTATCAAACGCTATTCGTAATAAACGAAATTCCCTTCGTATTTATTCGCGCTTATTCGCGCTTATTCGCGCATAGTTTGAGCGAATTTACAGTACGCTCGACACCGTCGCTATGCTCGGTCAAGTCGCATAGAGTTGGCACTCTTCGCTCTCTACGCTCTCTACGCTCTCTACCCCTAGACTCCGCCCGTACGTCGTACCAAGTACCGTAGTAGCGCTTCATCCCCCGTGCTACCGAAATCCCAGCGCGAATGCATTACGCATCAACGAATTCGGAGTAGCAATATCCTGAGTTGCTGGATGTCAGAGCTCGGAATTATAATACATTACCAATTCGACGAAGAGACCACGGCCACCCGCATTTGACCTTGTTTCAGGCTTTATTTCGCGTGCCGACGTCCCTTATCGGTATTTAATACAAACTCGTTCAAGCTTAGTGCGCACGTGATGACGCCTCAGATTTTATCAGGTTGCGAGATGATAATGAAATGAAAAAAATCGTACGGTCCTAATACCAGCATTTGTTTTTTTTCTTTTTTTTTTGTTATTTTTAAATAATGATTTATTTTATTTACCACTCGTTATTCAGACGTAACAACTTTGCCGCCGATGCGGGAAATATTGTCGGCGATTTTATTTAAACATTTTTCAATCGTGGTGCCGCCTCGTGGTGCCCTTTTTTACGTTAAATTAAAAAAATTGTATCCATTTTAACGCGATCGATATATGGGGAATCGAAATACCGAGCAAGATTGGCGACCATCGAATGGTCGACCATCACATCTCTCGCCTCTCTTTTTTTCCGACTCAACGACAATGATACGCGACTGTCATTTACACACTTCTGCCATTTCGTTGCGTAAACATACCCTATTGTCGAAATAGCGAAATGGCACTTCTGCCAGACGCGTTTGTCCGGCAGTGAAGAGGAATATTTCCACGAGCACACTGAACCTGAATTCTGTTATTCTTACTGTGAACGCTATTCCTTGGACGAATAATTTTCAAGTATAGTTTACATTAAATTTAGGTACATCGAAATGGAATGTATAACAATTATTGTATGAAATTTTAACAAGTAATTATTTTGAATATTTCGAAACTTTCTACACTTTACGTCCTATACGTATTGAATAATAAAATCGACAAAATGGAATTATTAAATATATATAAAATAAATGTAGAATATTTTCTATATTGAAATTAGAACAGGACATTTTATATTTAAACGTAGAATATAAATATAAAATAAGTAAAATAGATTTTATATATGTAAAATTATCAATTTATTGTATCGATCTGCATTGTTTTCGCCAATTTACACAACAAATGGAGCAACTATAAATTTTTATTCTTTTTTTTTTATATACTAGAGAATATTTACGTTTTCAGAGCTGTACATGTGCCGAAAATTACATTTTTGATTGATTTACAGTATTAATTCCGGAATGTTACTCGACTGACTCACGCGCGCCCACGAAAAATTTGTTGCGGCGATTTTCAGCTGGATACCAACGCGTTATTCGTTCGGATTAACAGAAAAATTGTTTCCGTTTATTTTTATTCTGCCTCGTTTATCAAAGTCACGTATTTTTATCACCCATACGCATCGCGCGTACCACGATGTTACTCTAAATATATGTCGCACTTTGGAAAACAAATATTCGCCGTATCATCGAAAATATTTTTTGATAATCTCGCAAACGTGGTATAATCGTACTTGTGAAAATTGCGGTTACAATCGAGGATATTTCTGTTTTTGCCTACGTTTATTTGTTTTATTTACTCGTTTTACGTATACACGAAAGATGCTAGTGATCGTAAAACATGTGTTGTCGAAAAATGGAATTATGCGCAACATCGTAACCGCGGATAGATGGTAATCCGGATACGACACACAAATTACGAGCCATCCGTCCGATTACCCTCCTCTTCGTGGTAAGAAGCCTATTCCCGGGGAACCTTTTTCCCGCCCCTTAAGTGCACTCGCACGCGGTGCAGCGCGCAAATCGCGTAAGCTACCGCCCGGCTCGCAGTTCGGGGGTGCGGGCTAGAAGCGCAAAGATATGCACCCTCGCGAGTTTGCTATGAAATAATCATATGGTTAGCTAATGGCGGCGGCCTCCGGGGTAGCGGTATATATTGTCAGCCGCTCGCCAGCTCGCCTCCTTCTCTCCCTCCCGCCGCGAATGCGTACAGGGGCGGGACGAGGGGATAATAAATAAATTCGATATATTTGCCTCGAGACTCTTCCTCCCTTCCCCCCCCCCCCACAAACATTCAATGATAGATCGCAATCTCGGGCCGGCGGGGCGACGCACCCCTCGAGGCGGACGTGCGTGAAGATCGGGACACGGGATCTTCCTGGTTGATGCTTCTGTACTCTCGCTACGGTAGATAGATTAGGGAATATTCTCGGATGGTTCAATCGCCTTTCGTCCAACTGAATAGCTAATTGAAAACTAATAACGGAATCTAATTTCGCACTCCGTTTTTTAAGAAGATACAACTTTGTATTACTGCTTTGTATTATTACAAACGAGAGAGAGTTGACAGAAATATTAACAGACGAATCTAACATGATCCCTTAGAATACCAACTACATTTAGATATCTTATTTGTACTTATGAGTGTACGTATCTCGTGTTCGATAACTTTTCCAAAGTGTTGAACCACTTATTTAAAGTGGTTAAAAAAAAAATCTCTAAAAATTTATGAGCATACTTTCTAGAAATAAATATCTGCATTTCATTTTGAAAAAAAAAATCTAATATAAGTTAATTAAGAATTCTGAACGAATTTCTTTACGATAAAAAACAGCGTTACTAAATCGACTGGTTTTGTAGTTATAGACATCTCGCTGCAATTACACGATTATAAAAGTATGATTTAATGTTTCGGACTGCGAATGAATAGCATCACCCGGATCGAAAAGACTTATCCCTACTCTGGATTAAAGGATTAAGCGATTCGGTGCAGTGACTTTCACAGGCGTAATTCCGCATTATTACCGTATAGTGCAACGGAAGCGGGACGGAAAATGGGGGGGGGGGAAGGAGAGAGATGGCCACTCAGCCGTTGAAAATTATTGTATTCGAAGACACATTCCCCTTGTTCCCCCGTCGTCGTTCCCAATTGATCTCAGACCGTGTTGTTACAGATTAAGGACGCGGAAGGGACCTCGGCGTGTAATCGCGCGCGAGGCTGGTGACTGGCGTTGAATCGAGAGCGATCATTTCGCTGCATTTTATTAGCGAATTACTTAGCGGTATTGCGCGTCATCTCGACTCGGATTTGTCCATTGTCGTGTCTCTACCTCTCCTTCGACGAGCTTAAAGGACTCTCGGAAATATCACTGTCCGCCGCACTTGTAAGGGGAATACGTGCGAGAGGAAAAAGGATCGTCTCCACGGACGATGACGTGACTCGGCAAACCGGATCCCATCCCGTATTCCATCTCGTGTTGACGAGCGGGCTGTTAAAACATTCACCTTCTGGAATTCCGTGTCTTTTAAGACGACGTATCGCGTCATTTTCGAGACGGCGATATCGCGATACGTCGATGCTAGTCGACACGCGAATATAATATTCCGGAAAATATAGCGCGATATCGCCACCAACCCTTTTTGCGCTCACAATCGCAGCGAAGCTAGCGCGGCGGGATTAGCTCGCAGTTAGTTATGATTAGACGCGACAGTTGGCCTTCCACGGATGCGGTATCGAAGGGCGACGGAACCCCCCCCCTTCTCTCTCTCTCTCTCTCTCTCTCTCTCGCACACACGTACACGCACACACCCTCGCTGTGTATTATATATTCCAATACCCATTGACACGCGCGTTTGTGTGCGTTTCTACCGTGGAGGGTCGAAGGGGGCGGCGATAATACGCGCTGACAGGCACGCACCCCCTCGGGCTTGCGCGGCCGCGGCAAGGGATGCTGCCTACGAGAGAAAGGAAAACATATACATACATACATACATATACAACCCGATAGAATGAGCATCGCGCGTACTGCCGTTCTCCATTCCCCTTCTACACTCTTCTCGCGTTCTGGCCGCTCTTCTACCTCGCCCCTCCTTCCCCTCTCTCTTTTTGTCGGAATTACGTACTGATGTTATAATCCTCTCGTGTTACGCCGTTGCACATGCTGTCCTGTAAGCAATACATTGTTTTTTTATCCGTTCCGTCTCCCTCCCTCCAGCGCCCATATGCACACTTTGCTGCCGATGATCGCTCGGTGATCGACGAGCGCCGATTGTTAAGAGTACCAAAGTGAGATCTCTCCTCGAACGACGGCCCATCGCGTTTGAATATCGAATCATTCGTTTCTACGTTTACAGAACAAGTACTCCTTTCTTGTATCTTTACAAAACATTGTTTTTTTTTTCCTGTTTTGTAACGCTATAACTGCTCTGAATATCTTTCGATCCTCACAGATTTTATTTATTCGCTGGATCGAAACAGCTGGGACAGATCGACAATTCGTGTATAAAATATAAAAGAAGAGGGATGTTTCATTAATACTAACGTAAACTTAAAGTTCAACGTGAGCGAATTGATTCGAATTTTCTTAAAACAATGGCGAAGTATAGGAATGTACAAGACTTTTTAATCGAGAATTTCTCCTTGGAGGGTATCGAAAGAAGCACGTACAAAAAAAGCGTGTATAAAAAAAGCGCGATCTTCTCTTGATCCGCGAAGGTATTATTATAATATGCATCTCGATCGCCTTTTGCGTTTCAGATATCTGGTAGCCGGCGGTTTAGTGGATCGCGTGTCACGTCACAGCCGGGCCTTGATCGAGACGGATTTTTTTCTGGATCAGGAGCACGAGTCACCGTTACTGGTATCGTCTTACGATCTTCTCGCGCGTATCTGCAGCCATCTGAGGAGATCCGTCAGATCCGTCGATCAAGATAACGTCAGCGTGCACGGCGAGGGCGGCGGCAACAGCGTCGAGCAGACGAGCAACGAGTCACATTTGTTGTCAACTTTGTCGACGAGCGAAGCCTCGGGCGCGATCGGCACTCTTTACGCGACGATCGCGTACACGCCGCAGAATCAGAAGGGTGCTTCGCCGACCCCCCCCAATCAGACGTTCACCACCGCCGTACGGACTCTAGCCAGTCGGGGTCTCAAGCTCCTCAAGTCGATCGCGGAACTCGACCTCCGGATATTACAAGTACGTAATTTCGTCTTGTATCTTTAGTCTCTAAGATGAAAGATCGTATCTATGATATAAATTAAAAAAGATATTCCATAAACACGAATTCAATTTGAAAATGTCTACAAATGTTCATAAACACAATTGTATGTAACATTTTTTTATCGTAAATGAATCGTAAATGAAAATGAAAAAAGGAAGCATAAATTGTACAAAATTATATCAACGAAAGATTAATTTTCGTTTTCGAATTGAATTAACACAATATAATACTCGTATGAATAAATAAAGAACATTTATGACGTGTGGATTTAATTCATTTTAAATAGCATCGCGTTAATGCCGAAGGATGGCATTTTGAGCAATAGTGATTTTTATTTGCTTCCTTAGTTTTCTTTTTTAATCACAACGATCTTTGTTCCACAAAATTATGCTTATGAATTTTATGTAATTGTTGTAAATAAATAATTATTTAATTTATGTTTCGGACATTTTGTAACTCAATTCATAATTTCATTCGGAGAAACTCATGTTGTACAATATCTATCGATATAATCATCCAACGTCCAATGTATATCTTTACATATTTTTAATCCTTTCAGTATTATTGTAATTTTATTAAACGAGATTGATGTAGTAGCTGAATCGAATGTAGAGCAAATAAAAAAATATAAAAGATATATAAAAATGGATATATAAAAAAATGTATTCAAATTTAAATTGTTTTAAAGATAACGATATGCACTGCTAGCAGAATTGAGTTATAAATGTAACATAACATTGATTATCTTAAATAGTTTAATTTTGACCTACGCGTTATTATCGTACGTAAACTTCCCTGAATTATTATTATTCTAATTTTCATCATTATCAAACTCGATGTTGCACAGTTTATCCACAACCCCCATATTATTCCGTTCCAATCTTGGTACTTTTCCTAGACTGTTTCTGCTAAATACGCCGTTTAATTTCGCAATTTACTCGCCTAATTTGAATTTATATTCAGCATATAAATATAGCATCGACGTTGGACAGCCACATTTTGACATTCAACGTTTGACATTACGTGATAAAAATATCTCGTCATAGCTTACGCGTATAACGCTAGTTTGTCTTATTTTAGGATGTCTCTTAAATTTTGAATCCGTTCCACACTCGATCTCGGTCTATTCAAACTCGGTCTAGCCAGAACCAGTTGTTGTCCATTAGACGTATATCGCTATATAAGCTTCATTACTCTTTAATTCGCGACGGTCTTTGCGACTCGGCATTATCGGATACCGCAGGCTCCCCTAGCGTTGCCTCTCCAAATGACAACGATGTCGCTTGTTGCCGCTAACAATACGGGTTATCGTTGGAGGGCGCCGGGCGTGATGGAGATATCATGTATCGCGGGGGTTCAGCCTGTCAAGACGCAAAGGCCTCCCGTGAAGTTCTCTCGCAGCGAGCCGACCGCGAATTGAATCGAGACGGCCGACCACCTCGTGCTCTTCGCCCCGCAAAAACCATAACGGCTCCATCCCGTGTGCCCCGCGGGAGGGCCGTGCCCCGTGTCCCACGAGAGCGCCTGTCGATTACCAGATGAGCCCCATGGCGTGCATTTGCCGAAAAACCGACGGTTATTATCTATTCTCTTTAGTGACGCACTTTTCGCGACGCCTAAAGTCCGCTCACCGCTCCACCAATAATGCCCGTCTTAGATTTCAGTGAGACCGCCAGTGGTCTGAATCTGTGATTCGAGATAACGAAAGAGAAAGCAAAACAATTATAATGTTTATATATCGATACCATTAAGTACCGTTAAGCAACGTTGCACGTTGCTCTACGTCAGATTTATGCGTGAACCGTGGACAGAGTCGTTGGGAAAATTCTGCCCGGTCGTGAAAGGATTTTATAAAAATATTAAAATATACGAAATATATATTCTTTTTGCATATGAAAAATATTATGTTATAGAATTTTTTGGGTGCTGAGGGTACGAGCCTACAGTGGCGACTGATAGCGAGCCACCTGATAACACGACTATCCCGCGACTCTTTGTCGGACAAATTAGAGATGGGATCCATGCCAGATACAAACAGTATTCAGATACTCTCGGAATTGTTCATGGTGCTTGGATACTTCGCCCTCAATAATCCAAACAATCAGGTATTGTATCATATTAATATAAAATATTGCGTTATTATACATGTTTTTAATTCATAAAAGTAATAAGATATCGACTTTATAATTATCAAGTATAATTCTTTGTTAAGAAAAAAAATTACAAAGCAGTAAACAGTAAAAAACATATGGATATAAAAAAGGTTTCTCGCTATATTGTCCGATCATATGGACGGATTAGAATCGAGATACAAGAGAGATTGTACATCTCTCATTGTCAAAAACTTCTGAATGAATCGGGTATTGAATCCTCGCTTATTATTAATCTGGAAAAATTAAACGACGATAATTCGCGGATATTCATTCGCTTTCAATATTGCACCGTACATCGCACATTGCAAGCGGTGGGCATTCGCTTTAAATTCCTCGAATCCGTGTGGAGATTCTTGACTGCTCGATTCGAGTCAACCGGTATGTTCGGCGAGAAATGAATGCGGTGGATGCGGCGTACGGCGCGATGGTACCGACGAGAAGAAGGAAGAGACTGTTAGACACAACACACTCAGCGGACCTCCCATCAATATACGGCCGAACCGCCGTTAAGATATATTTACGGCGTACCGTTCCGGCGTACGGCTTCATGGCGTGTGCACGCGCAGCGCGCGCAGTGCCGCTTCGTCGGCTCGTCGGCTCGTCGGTTCGCGAAGCCGCGTAGAAATTCACGGCAAATAATTACGATGCGAAAAACGAAATTCTCCAAGGGTAAAATTGATCGTATCCAAAGGAATAAAGTAAGAATAATCGTTAATTAAAACGCGGAACATTTTTGCGGAAAACTAGATGAATTTGGATTATCAGAGAATAATAAAATATTTATAAAATATTTAAAAAAAGTATATGTAACAGATATTTTTAAATATTTTAATAATAGATCTGGGAATTTTAGTATCTGTTAGTGTCTATTAATGCTATATTAACACTCTTCTTATTAACGGTTGAGTATTAATAAATTAATAGATTTTCGGTGTCTGTGTAATAAAAACTTAAATATCTACTTAAATGTTACAATTTTTTTTCTGTCCTAGAGATGATTATAAAACTGATTAATTGTAACGGAATAATACATCTTAATTTTGATTCGCGAGTATTTTTGTCGAATGATACTGTAGGATAATATGTATGGTATATTTTAAAATATTTTATGGAAAGCGTTTAATGTGGAATCCTATATATATATAACTACTCAAGATCCAATATTCTGAGATATTAATTTTTCGCATATTCTTAATGACGGAAATCATTTAAGGCAACAGAAAGGCATAAGAAAGTTCCTCCACAAGTTTAGTGTTTTTAAAATTAACCAAATTTCTCCAAATAATTCAAATTTAAGGATACTCGTCGCAAAGTTGCCAAGATTTAACGCTACCATTCGCGTCGTTATCCGAGATCTGGTCTTGCCTCCGCGTCGATCCCGCGAATGCATGAATCGAGATGTAACGTTGAGTGCACGGCTGATGTCGCGCATTCGTCTTTCAGCGCTTTTTTAAGGTTGCCGCTCTCAAGTGCGAGAGCTAACCCTCCAAGAGTAGTTGCCTTGGAAAAATCGTTTTCCACAAGATGAGAGCGGGAGGGGGGAGGGGAGGGAGAAGGGAAAGAGAGAGAGTAGTGTGTGTGTGTGTGTGTGTGTGTGTGTGTGTGTGTGTGTGTGTGTGTGTGTGTGTGTGTGTGTGTGTGTGTGTGTGTGTGTGTGTGTGTGTGTGTGTGTGTGTGTGTATAAGATAGAAACAGAGGAGGAGAGGAAAGGGAGAAACGAAACGCTTTTAAGCTTCTACGAACATCTGCGGCAGCCAGGATTATCGCCAGCCATCAGCACGATGGTACACCACCTTCTCCGTTCGCGATCATAAACACGTCTATCTCCGTTTTTTGTCGACAGTCGTAACTGAATTGGAGAAATGGATTTTTTTGCGGTGGCGCCGGTGGTGCGTACGTTACCACTTTTCGCTTATTTATTTTAAACCAGTGAGTCCGGCGTTAACTAGCCCCTTTTTTTAGAGCCGTGCGCGTGCCGCGACACGCTATCGATCCCGATACTGATTTTTGTTCCTTCTTCTCTTTTTCACCAGTCGGTATTGCAAATATCGCTCGCTTATCGTATCGTACTGTGAAATTAAATAGCAGACTTATTTACCGTTTGACATTCGTGGCATTTGGAAAGATTAACGTTTTCTAATCGTAATTTCTGCATTTTTTCCTATGTTTTTGTAAACAACAACTTAAAAATTTTAAGGTTGTACCTTGCTTCGCTTGCCATAATTCGCTTTTATGGCGCGCCTTTTCATAGCGATAGAACGTATTTTCATGATGAGAAGAAGCCATATTTCTCTCGTAGTGACTGATTTTATCACGAATTAATCGTTATACATTACGTTATGCTACACACGGAATGGGTATGGCAACTATAACGGACGGACCGATATTTAACACAATGAACGCAATACGAGTTGTTTCGGCGCCAGAGTAACAGGGATGCGTAAAATGTGGGTATTTCCTGTGACAGTCTTGTGCAGGTGCACAGGAATACAACGTCCTGTTCACAGAGGCACTTGTCACAAGACACAGATGTCCGGTACGGATCTTCTTGCGCTAAAGGTTCTCTCGTTTCCGTGACACCTGGAGTCACTCAGGTTCTCACGCTCTTTAAGAAAATTACTCTGTTTAATTAAAACTCCACGTTGTCATTGAAAAGCTCCGGTTGAACTTGCCATGCGGGTAATTTGCAGTTACAAAAGGAAAATCTTCGTCCGGTGCATCGAAACGTCCTCAAAAATTATGTTGATGTATAATGTAACATTTTATTAAATTAAAACATTTTGTTGTCAAACAGTTGTCTTTTCGATAGAATAATAAAGGAATGGCATAATAATACAGATGTGACTGAATATGGTTTCTTTGATAATATTCATCACATAAATTTCAGAATCAGAAATACAGTTGCACGTTTATTATTTGTGCACTCTGCTATGCAAAATGTCTTTCTGTGCAAAAAACCAGCTCTGTGATAGCAAAACTTTAATAATTCCTTATATTTTAAATATTATTTTTTTAAAAGCAATCTCACAATTTTTCTATTAAAATGTTTTTTCCTTAAAATATTTCAAAAATTTTAGCTACTCTAAATATGAAACGCGTCGAAATTTCGTTGAGATCACATGAAGACTGGCAAGAAATGATTCTGTAGTCATTTCCACCTGTATTATAGAATAAAATCAACGTTTCCTTTTTCTATGAATCCTAATATATAAATTATAAATCTCATGAATTATATTTATCATGTAAAATTAACGATTGTATTAGTTTAATACTTTCTTTTTGATTGTTTTGAGAAGAGTTTGCATTTTAAATTTGTTGAATATAAAATCGCAGAATACTTTTTACTTTAGTTGACAGACATGTGTTAGATTTACATTTGAATTTTTTAATTAACAGAAAACTTGACTCTATATTTTGTGCGAGTTGTAAGGAAATCTCTGAAAAAGATATTAAAAAGAGATTATTTTTAAAAATTTGTATTCGGATTGATGAGTTGTGATTCGTCGGTATAACAGCGAGAATTCAATACGACAGCTAAAACCGAATAGAAAAACCATCATGAAAACAGAGACGCTAGCTCTCTCGATAGGATCGCGATAATTTTCCTTTGACTAGTTTATAATCGTAATTTGAAAGACTTTTCTCCCTTTGTGGATTTCACGGAGTGACTTAAAAAAATAAATAAAATTACGTTAGAAGAATAATAATATCCATCCTCGAAAAATCTGTTCCAGCTGGTTCTCCAATCGGCTGGCGCGGGTCCTAGCGTTCTCCAGCAATTATGTACTTTGCCATTTCCATTTTACGGAGATCCCAAACTGATACCATACACGTTGCCAGCACTTTTGGCCGCCACTCATCACAATTCTGAGGCAATGGCAATATTGTCTTGCGAGATGTCGTACGAGGTAAGTGATTCTAGATACACCTGCACGTGCTGTCGTGCGCATAATTCTCCATCGTACGTAACGTGAACATAAATCTGATTGAACAGATGCGCGATTAACACGTCGAATACGATGAAATGAAATTTGTTGAAAAAAATATATATTTATTCATTTTATATCGATTTTATATATGCCGCTGTATTTCTATGCGGCATATTGATTGCATTTCATAAGTGAATCGATGAGATGCTATGATATCAGCATCATAGCACTGGTTACCGACAACCACATTCAACGTGTTAATATATGTTAATGTGCATACATAAATATTCATAATTTTAACGTGTAATAACAGGTTGATTATATATTGCATGTTGGATCGATCTTTCACGCAAAATCATAAATTGTTATAAATCTGAGTCGAAACTTTTTTTCTATTCGAGTTTAATTAGAATTTTTACATCTTATTGATATTTTAAATAACCTAATCGATTTTTTTTTTTATATATCATTTAACCTATTAGCTCTTTTTTAGAGTCTGAAATTTTTTTGTCGAAAGTTTTAATATTTCAAAGTAGGAAATTACATCTGTTACTATTTATTTAAGATGCCACATAAAAACTCAATTTTTGTATGAGATGATGATTTTTAATTATGAATCAAATCCTAAATTCAGAACAAATTTACAAAATTAATGCGTTATAAAATATATGTGTGTGTATATATGTGGATAGAAATAGAAATACATTTCGTTTTATAATTGAGACATAAACATTTTCCAATATTTTTTTGAAATTTTTGAAGAATTTTAATTTTTCTTTGAAATGTAATAATTTTTATTTAAAATTATTATATTATTTAATACTTGTATTTATATTAATATGTTTTCAATATTTGACAGATTTACACAAATAAATGAAAGTAGTAATTTTGAAATGTCTAAAATGTCTCTGTTCGTGGGAAATCATTTTAAATTAAATCTATCATAATCTTCTCTAAAATCTCTATAAACGTTTTAAAATTAAGATAAAAAATGGAATTGAAATTTTGACTCGAGAACGTTTAAACATTTCAGGAAAATTCTTTATTCGATAAATATATTTTCTTAAATTTGTCTCATTGCATTTGTAAATAATATAGTTTACAAATTTTGATAATCACTCTCAATCTGTTTCGATTTTATTATGGATATTTTTTAATATTAATAATCAATTTCTCCCTAGTTGTATATACTTTTGTTTTTCAACATATTATTAATTAATACATTGCACTTTGTATATAGTGATGTTTAACGAGTAAATTTAATTGGCTTTACAGTTGCTGGAGCAATACAGAAATTCGGACGAAGGTAAATTAAATCCTTTGGTGCGTTTGTTGAAGAATAACGCCTAGTCGTTAATCACGTTTCGTACGTTCCACTAAAGGTTTGATTAGTTTAATTTTGTTGTTTAGATGCCTCTTGGGCATCGTTAGGCGTTATAGTCTGCGCGCGTCGAAATCACTGATGGATCGCTATAACAAATAATCGCTTTTCCAAACGAGAAAAGCTAAGATGAGGGATTGCGTTCACCTGTATCTGAGTCGCCTGTATCTAATTGCATAATCAGAAATTGAATCTCGATAATAGTAATTCTTTTTTAAACAAGTGTACATACTCGTTCTTTCGACTCTTTGAAAAATAAAAGTCAATTTGAGGGTTAAATTTACTGAAAAGTCACGCGAATAAGACGAAGTAGATGTTTCTAATTTAGATCAATATTTCCCGAATCACATTTCAAGTCGTTTATTTGTATATCTGCGATATACTGACGGAACAGGCATGATATTCTGTTTTACGTGCCATTTTGCATCTGCAGAATGAGAGAGATCTAGAATCTTTGTATTTTTTCAAAGCATTTTTTTATCGGTATTGGGTTATTTTAGTCCTGCCGTCCTATAAAGTTAAATATATTATAGAATTCTACAAGATGCAAAAGTTGTTCAAAAAGTACCGATTCAAGTAGTGATAGTTATAATCAGAATAAAAAGAACTCGCACACACGTGCTTGCAGAATCCAGAAGATAAAGTCGACGACTTTTGAATAATTAATTTATGAGTAAACTGTTGCTTCGTTGAACGTAACTGTAAGTGGAATAATTTATTTTCATACATTGGTAGCGATTTACGGTCGAAATTATTTGTCGCCTTGGTAAACGAATGACGACGGTAAACGTCACGATGATCTTTCCCCGGTACTTTAGGCTAGACTAAGTAGATACTCGACCGAAGTTATCGCGAGGCATCCGTGAGTTATTATTCCGAATAATGTAATATATTTTTACGTGCGTCTGGTAAACGAAAATGCCGGATTTTCTTGAATTTTAATTTCCTTCCAACGTGAAGGAAAGCGAGTCGAGCGGACATCATTGTTCTAAATTTTCGAGAATCGCTTCGTAAAATAGATCCAAACTTGATCGAATTTCGAGAGATCTAACAAGGACATGGGAGTTGTTGTAAAAAGGATACGCGAAACGCGCGCACTATCCGTGAATCTAGTCCTTTTAACGTTAGCAAATCTTTATATTTGCGATCAATGCTGTGTATCTCTATTTACTATATTTACTCGTATATTTTTTATTACCGTCCGTTTCCACGCGTGCCAATCTATCGTGCAAAGAATGTGTCTTCAAATGGGCCTTTTGATATAGTAACCGTCGCGTGGCATGGCCCGACAGAAAGTAGAGAGGTATTTGTGCGTATGTTAGCTACGTAAACTACATCCAGATATAATCCACAGATTATCACGAGTCGAATTTATTTTATACGAGTGCAAGTAATATTTCTAAACTGTGTTTTTATGCCGAAAATTGAATTTAGGAGATTGAATTTCGAGATGAGCAGTTGCGCTTGAGTAGTCGAGTAGTCTATTTCCAAGATTATTCAAAAGATATCATTTATCATTCGAACGACATAGTTTAAAGAATAATTAATTGTAATTAATTAATTGATTGGAATTATTTATTCAGTATATAAAATCGATACGAGTCGGTTTTCATGGCTGCAATAAATACATTCGTGCAATGTCCTGCCAATGCAATTTATATTTAAGTATTACATCAATCCCAGGAAATGCGATAGTTTGGCAATATTTTTATAAAACTGTTTTTTCATAAAGATTTTATTGGAAATCGTCTTTCGAAAAACTAATTGAATTCAATTGAACATAATCTTTGTAAAAAGTTTTTGTATCTTTTGAATACTATTTGTTTTAAGATCGACTTTATGTTCTTCTTGCTATTTCTTATTTATATTATATATTTATATTAATAAATATGTTTATAATAAAATGCGCTCTGGCTTGTATATATGAATTTTCAAGAAATGTTTTTGTAATTGGACAAAAAATGTTGCCTTGCTATTATTATAGCAATTTTTTGGGATATACACTCGGACGCGTGTGTATGCGTGCGTGCGTGCGTGCGTGCGTGCGTGCGTGCGTGCGTGCGTGCGTGCGTGCGTGCGTGCGTGCGTGCGTGCGTGCGTGCGTGCGTGCGTGCGTGCGTGCGTGCGTGCGTGCGTGCGTGCGTGTGTGTGTGTGTGTGTGTGTGAGAAATATTTAAAAAAATATGTAACATTAATAATAACATCGGATCGAATGTAAACGAGAATCATAAATATCTTATGCGTTCGATCTTAAATAAAAAATATATATATATATATCTAACGATAGTAATTTATATATATATAATGATTACAATGTATTAGTTTTCTGCGAAACTTTTGCACAGAGTGTCAATGTCCCGTCTAAATGACGACGATTAGTAGCTGAAAATGAAATGATTGCGTTTAGTGAGCTAGTATTAGTGATCAGTATCGCTTTTGCCAGGTGTTGACCTCGCGAGCGTAGCTCGTGTTTTAGAAACGAAAGAGAGGTGGTATTTTTCTACGGTAGCTCTTACATAAAAATGAGCATACGCGATTGTAGATTTAAAGCGGTCCTTTAAAAGCGGTAAATGCACGCTCTCCCTCGTACATACATCTCTATAAAACGATTCCGTTAACTCGAGTACGATCCGTACTTACGCACCTGTACCTCCTTGCGCATATCCTCGTTCACGAGAACTTCTCACGCGTATCGGAGTATCCATCGATCGATGATCGCTTAAACGAACAATTGCGTACGCAGATTTCTGCAGCTGTGCGACGAATTCGGCCAAGTTCAAATGGGGATAATCGAGATAAATTAGAGTAAGTCGGATGGTGAAATGAATTTTGCACGAAGAAGACTTCTTTTTCTTCTTCTTTTCAATGTATATTCAATAATTGCTATCTATTCTTCTTCTTCCTCTTCTTCCTCTTTTACATAGAAGAAGAAGATACCTCCTCTTCTTCCACATATAGACTTAAGCCTGTTTTTTACCTCTCTCTTCATATACCTGTAGTGCGCACGCAGGAATATGAGACTTACAAGGAAGAAGAAGAAGAAGAA